GGAGAGCTACATTCAAAATCACCATCTATTGGGAGCTGCCTTTGGTTTATCCTGTTCCCTACAATAGAGTCAATCATGTTTATTTTCCTAATGTTGCAGGTATAACAGCACTTTCTTTCTCCACAAATTCAGTATCCTTTTATGCTTGCTAAACAAACTAGTAAATGAACAGCCTGGGATTCTTGCACCTCATTTTTTATTATATCCCATGTACCTTTTCAGTCTGTGGTGCTATATGTTCTTCCTTTTACTTTCTACATTTCCAGCACCTCTTCTATCTCCACCTAGGTATATCACACGTAATATGTCCCTTTCATGCATGGGTGAACTGTCACTGTGCTTATTTGCATCACCTCTTTGTAGATGAGTAACTTGCAGGTCAGAAAGTTTAAAGAATATTTTTCTTCCCCAAATCACTTCTTGAGAAACTAACCCTCAGTAGTCATGGTGACTTAGGATCAGAAGCTAGGCTTAAGAAGGGAAAGAATGACTCTTGCAATTTACCAATGACCCTGGGTTACAAATGACCCCTGGGAGACAGCGAGGGTCCTGCACAAGCACAATGAGACATGAAAGATAACAATGGCAAGAGTTATGCTGTCTTGTAGCAAGTGAGTAGCAAAGATGTGCAGGTGAAAAGTTCATTTCCTGCTGGTTTCTGGCCTGTGCCCAGCACACAAAGTCCTGAGCAAGGGAAGTCATGCTCTGTAACCCAGTCCCAGTAGTACACCATGGGAGGACTTGGACAAGTCAATGGGCCTCTCTTGTCTCAGTCTCCCCACTCATAACTGGTAAGGTTACAGTTCTCTAAGGACCTTCTAGGTCTGAAAGGCTCCAAATCCACCACCCAGGGTCATGAGTCAGCGTGAAGACAGGCTGAAGGGCAGCACAGGGTGCACAAAGCACACATGGGTAGGATACACTGGATCTCCAGTGACCCAAGAGGGAGGTAGGTAGCTCATGGAAAGAGTTCCAAAGTGTTCCAGTTATTAAGGAACATCTGAAAGTAATTCCTGGCAGCTCACTAAATATTGGCATCACAAGCATCCTGATTACAAGGACTTTAGGATAGATAATATTGGTGATGAAAAATAGTGAGAATTTGTCGGTCTCACCCATGTTTTTATGGTTCTTTTGTTTCCTACAGAAAATTTCCAAATCCCACCATCCATGGGAACCTCCCGTCCTCTGGAGCTATCACCTTTCATCAGGAGCATGGCTGTTCCCTTAACATCAAGTGCTCCAGCCCTCACTTCAGCATGGCTGCTGCCCTCAGCTTCTGTCAACTACTTCCAGCCAGTCATAGCCAGTTCCTACACTTATCAACACTGTAGTGAAAGTAGGTTTTCAGGGGCTGCTGGCCAGAGGCAGATGTCCTCTTTGGTTGCGTCCTATCCAGATATTTGGCAGTGGGATGGCATGCCAGGCTCTGGAAGCAAGCATCCACCACTGGAGACCTTTACGGTGTCTGTCACTAACCAGAGCACAACAGTTGCTTTCTCATCTATGCCTGCCCATGCTAATTCCATCATCCCCATTTATCCATCTATAGCTGCCAGCCTGGTTCAGCCAATACCATCACCATATGCTCTGAGCCAAGGACATGGCTACTACTACTACAATCAAAGTGCAATGGGGCCTCTCATATGTGCAGAGCTTGGAGAACTGCAGCCGTATGAGTTTGTGTCACATACAGGCAGTAGGGCAGCTGCCCCTCAGCCAGAGATAGTAATGGTGTTGAAGGTAATTCAGCACAAATATGTCATAACATCAGCTTCTAATGCGATCCGCTATTCTGGATCTGTGCAAGCCAACATGGAAACGAGTTTCCAAGATGGGTCCTGAGGGCAGAAGCAAAAGGGATTGGGATAACACTCTGCAGGAGGGATGAATCTTCTGCTGAGTACAGGTAAACATAGAGATAGGTAGAATTTCATGCCTGAGATGGGCTCTGCTTCCAGTCTCTGTAAGTAGGGAATGCATGACACTGTAGTGGCCATCCCTGCTGCATAAGAGCAGCCCAGGAGGCCACTGAGGCAGGCCACACTTCTCAGAGCTCTTGAGGATGAGTTCCCCTTTAGCAGCCCTCCATAAGCAATTCCCTTTGGTCTTCTATTGCTGTGGTCCCTTTGGAAGACACTTCCAAGTTTAAGGTGGTGAGGACAGTTTCATTTCCCTCATTTTCAGCAAGATGGAATACCTTATATTTCAGAGATCCCATCCAAAGCATGTGCCTCAGTACCTGTCCTGCTGACATTTTGCATAAGGATGACCTTATCTCTCTTCTTCCATGGCAAGAGGTGTTCTTATACCAGCAAGAGAGGAGAGCACTGAGTGTACCTGAGAGTAGGAAGCTACACCTGAACACTTCTATCTGTGAGAGTGCACATATGTGGGCACTTGCACTTCTGTGTTTGTGTGTGTGTGTGTGTGTGTGTATGTAGAGGGTATATAGTGCACAGGGCTTGTGCATACTAAACAATACTCTCCCAATGTACCAAAGTATTATCCTGATCTAAAAATCACTTTGTTTCCTTTGAATAAGAACAATCCTAAGACCTAAAAAGAAAGCCATGAAATAAAGACCTCAGGTGATAAGCAGGAAAAACAGTTACCTCCTAGCTATAAAGCAAGGTCCTGTCCATGGTCCTTAAGAACAGAGACTGGAAAGGTCTTGCTGACTCTTGCTGGGCTCCTGAGGGCTGTGCTGGTGTGAACGGGGTGCAACTCCCTTAGGAAAGACTAACTTTTTCCTTGTTTCATTTGCAGTAAAGGAAATTTCCCTAGAGACAGAGACATATGTGGGATGGCAAGCCCTGAGCCAGGCAGGGTTTGTGTCACAACTTGCAGAAATCCCAGAGTCCTGCAGCACCAGAAGTACCCAGGTGCTTGAGGGAAGCCCACCAACTGAGTCTGGGGGCATTTTAGTGGGAGCTCCAGTGCAGAATTCCACTCATTCCTTGGCCTTGGATTCAAGCTGGGAGCAACCAGAGAAGGAGAACTGGGATGAGATGAGAAGTGAAAGCTTAGAGCCTCTGGATGCCCAGAAGATCTTTATAGAAACCCAAGACCTAACTTTACTCTCCTTAGCATTCCCTGACTCTCCCAAGCTGCTGGCTTCCACTAAGCATCCAATCCCTGAGAATCCTCGTTCTGAAGATGCCCTCTTGGGAAAGTGCCACCCGACTCTCCTGGACCTAGGGACTCTTGACAAGGGGATTGAGTCCAGCCCGGGTTGGGCAGATATTGGGGCCCTGGTAGAGGACATTCAACTTCCCCAGGTGCTCCAGACCTCGGATGATCTTGATCACTCCAACCAGCCCACACACATCTAAGCCCAAGACACTGATGCCATTGATGAGAATTGTGTGCAGGAAAACTCAACTATCACCAAGTGTCTTTCAGCTAAGATGAGGAAGAAGAAACATAAAGCTTCTGAGCCAATCACTGGAGCTCCTGAGGCTAAAATGCAGCTGATGGACCCTGAGAGACTGTCAGGGGAAGAAGGGTGCATTTTTAGTACAACAGCCAGTGACAGGGCTCCCATGGACATGGCTGAAAAGTCCTATAGAAAATCTCCAATGATAACATTAAACCAGAAACAACCAAGCTAAGTGCCATGCCAAAGTGAGGTACAAGAGAACCACAGGTAACTATGGCATGAAAGCTCTTGACAGGAAGCAGTCAGACCCTAAGGTCAAGGCAGAAGTGATGCCAACAGTTCCTGAAAGGAAGCACAAGAGACACCAACCTGTGACTGGCCAGGAGGTACTTAAAATGCCTCACACCAGCCTAGGCATGCACTTGCTGGAATCTGTGCAGGTTTTCCACCCTTTAGGGAAGAAGTTGGATAAGAAAGGTGGAAGCTTTTCCTCCAGGGCCCTGGGAGCATCGAGTATCACCAAAGATCTCAAGATATCAACAAGCAAATCTTGGTCAGGGGTCCCATGTGAGGGGAAAATCCCTTGGGATGATGCCCAGAACCCCCACAGCACTACTGAAGCAGAGGCTTCATCTTCATCCCTGAGTGAGCTGCCCCAACCTGGACAGGTGAAGTTAATACCACTGTCTTTTCCCAGCCCAGAAAAGCCTCCATCCCGACCCTTTGGCTGAAGGCCATAGCCTCCAGCCTCAAGGCAGCCCACTATACACTATAGCTCACCCTGTCCAAACTGCTGCCACTGACACAGCACAGCCATCCCAAACAGCTGCTGGCAACACCTCTCTGATGCATCCCATCAAACCAGCTCAGCCGGTCCTGAACAATGCCAGCCAAGCAGGCCTGACCTGGAAGACCCAGCCTGGAGTTCCTCGGCCTGCAGTGTCTAAGCCGGCATCCCTGGCAACATCACCTTGCTCCTCACTCAGAAGAGTGCCTGTAGCCACTGCTCTGACCAAGCGGTGCAGTTCCCCACCCCAGCAGCACCACCCATATCTTATCGAAGACTTCAGCCACCAGCGAATTCCCTGGAGGGAGCCCAACATTTCCCAACCAGTCCTGTCAACCCCGATTACAGAGGAACAGAGACCAGAGCAAGAAGCAATGAAGAGGCAGGCTCAGCTAGAGCGGGAGCTGGCTGCCAAATACACCTCCTTAGGGAAGCTGCAGTTTTTCAGGCAGAGGGGGAGAGACATGGAAATTGATCTATACTATGGATACCTAAGATGAGAGCCAGGAACACTGTCCAGCCACTTTGGTACCAAGTGGTTCTCCACTTAGATATGCAGAGAGAAGTAGAAATTTGCTGATTCTGATGTACCACTGAAGATTATCATAACCACATCCTGGTTATTTTCATTATAATATAGCTCCTCAGCAGA